CTTGGAGGGCGCCTTCGGTGTCCCCAACGTGATCTCACGGGCCGACTCCAGCCCGCCGCCTGGGTCCGCCCCGCCGCACCAGGCGCTTTGTCTGACCGGCACGACGATAACGATGACGGCGACATTGAGATCGAATCACGGGACCATTCTCGCCGCCCACGCGAAAACGAGGACCCTCCCCCACCCTTCCTCCCCGCCCCCATGATCCTTGGCCTCCGCGCAGTCTCGGCGGCGCTCCAGGACTGGTGGACCCACTGGCTGAAGCGCAAAGGAGGACGTGGGCCTGGCACTCTTCTCGTTGCCGCTGCCCTGCGCAATGAGGCCCTCTCCCCCCGCCGGCTCGTTGGCCGGCTTGTTAACCGAATTCGGGTGACCCGGGCGCGACTTGTCTGCCGACGAGGTGCATCGCTGGCTCCGTAGGTGGGGCTAGGGAACCCGCCAGCGCAGAGCGGGCAGGCTTACCCCCTGGCAGAGAGGGCCTGGAGTAGAACGCCCTCCGTTCGCCGCTCACTACAGAACTGGGCGGGGGGCCTATGTCAAAACCCACTCCGCCATTGGGGTCCGTTCCCCCGACGGAACCTGGCAAGACAAACCTGCCGACGTTGATCAAGTGCTTTGGGGCAGTCGGAGCCTCATCTGGCAGACCGGCCCCCCGCCCCCTGCCACCGCTGAGCGCGTTCAGGCCTGGAGCTTCCGCAGCAAAGGGCCCGTGGCGCTCCCTGGTCCCTCCTCACCTGGCTAGGGCCGAATCGCCTCTGCGGTTCTCGCCCCTAGCAGCAGTGCGCCAGGCGTCGACGGCGAGCCTTGCGTGGTGTACCACCCTGGATCACGCTTCGCGGCCTGCCTTCTTGCCCAAGCGTGGCACGCCGCCCGCGAGTGCTCCCGCAACATCCCAGGGGTCCCCGGTCCCTCCGTGGACCTCCTTGTCTGGGCCGGCAAGAAGGCGGGAACCGAAAAGGCCCGGCGACATGAGGCCCCTACAGCTTCCGACATGCATGGCCCGCCTCTTTGGCGCCACACTCGCCGATCGGCTGGGGGGAACCCTTCCTCAGCCCTAACCAAGCGGCCAAGAAGGGAGGGCAATGTGAGCCCAGCGTCACCAGGGTCAAGGCCCACCTGGGCACCCCCCCCTCTCCCGACCCGGGCCCCGGGGAAGCCTTGGGCGCCCTCCTTGGACCCTGCCGACGCACGGTGGACCGCTGCACCTAGCGGCCGTCGCTGACGTCGGGTCCGCCCCCACAGCCGCTGCCATTTTCTGCGACCAAAGCAAAGCCGTCGAGAGAGTCTCCTTCCAGTGGATGGGCCAGCTCCCGGGACAGTGGCGGATCCCCTCGTGGATGCAGCGCGCCATCGAAGCCATGATCTCCAATCGACACGCGCAGACACGCAAGGGTCGCTTCATCGGCCCCCGCAGGAAGCTGCTCCGTTCTGTCGGCAGGGGGGGGGTCCCCCCTCCCCCCCGCTGTGGGACATGGGGCACGACCCTATCATCGATGCCGTCGCTCATTGCTCCTCCGGAGACTGCCCCAGATACGTCGACGATTTGGCCTCTCTCGCCGGAGGTGGCCTCCAAGCCCTCCGCGCATGCATTGCCTTCCCTTGGGCCGCCCATGCTGCCGGCCTCCTGGTTGACGTGCACCAGTGCCAGGGCCTCCTGGTCCCTCCAGGCCTTCCTCGCCTCGCTGTCCTCCTCCAGGACGTCCCCGTCCAGGCCACCGCCGATCAGGAGGGCTCCCTCCTCGCGGGCCCCCCCGCCCCACTACTCTCGGCCCTCGTCCGCCAGGTCGCGGGGGCCGACGCGGCCCGCAGCTGTGCGCCGCGGGTCAGTCCGCGCCCCTGTTATTTTAAACGGCGGTCGTCCCAGCAGGCCGCCGCGACTGGTGGAGACGCCTGCTCAGTCACTCCCCTTTCGGTGTTCCATGCGTCAAGCACGAATGGCCTTGCCTCGGGGCCGCAATCGTCTCCCGCGCCGCCGATGGCGAGCCCCATCCCCACGAAGCTTCGCATTCACCCTCGCACAGCAGGCCGCGCTCGCAACGGGCACCTGGGCCAAGCCGCTGGCCAAGATGCGAGACCGCGCCATGACTCTCCACCTCGCCTTCCCTTCCCCCTCGAGGTCCTCTGCGACGTGGAACGCATATCTCACCTCACTCGCCCCCTACCCCACCCGCTACATAGCGCTTGGCCCGCTTCAAGAGCGCACCCTGGAAGCGCCGCTCCTGGTCGCCCTCGGCCTCTCAGCCGACGTTTTGAGGCGACGTTTGAGGCGCAGCCCCCGCAAGGAGGCGCGCGGCCACGCGGTGGAAGAAGCTGCGGCTGGGCAGCCCGGACACCCATGGCGTCGCCAACCCGCGCCCCGGCTCCAAGGCCATTGCATGCCACAAGGCTGCGCTGCTCCTGCGTATCGAAAAGGACACTCCCGCCCGCATCGCGAGCAAGTACTTTGGGCGCGCGGTCTACGCCGACGCCCGGGGGCAGATGCAGTTGGACGCAGGTTGCCTGTGCCCGCAGGAGGTGGGCGCCGGACACCAATGAAGAATGGAACCTGCTCCAGCACTGCGCTTCCTTCAGCGAGGCGCACCGCGTCCCCCGCTTCCTCGCCGACGGGATGCCTGGCTCCGCCCGCCGCCAGGCAGCCGAGGAAAGCCTCACACGCACTTGCCGTGGGTGCCGGGGGGCTGCCAGGAGGGTCGGGTACACCCGGAGCCGCGCCACTACCAGCCACCCCTGATGCCCCTCTTGCCTCGGACCATGGGGCCACTCCCCCGCCCCGTGGCCATCCAGTCAACCCGCCCTCCTACCCGCTGCCCTCCGCCAGGCAGCCAACGACCTCCGGGGCGCTCGCCCGCTCCTAGACACCCCCACGGGGTGTTTACGGCGCGTGCCCGCTCTGCAGGGTTAGGAGAGGCGACCTCCGAGCACCTTTAATCCTGGTGCCCAGCCGTTGCGCTCGCCTGGAACATCTCCTGGGCCGCCGCGCACCCCCCCGACCTCGGCACCGCCATTCTTACTGGAGGAGAACACCAATGTCTCGTCGCCCGTATCGCACACCAAATCTCATTTCGGTGATGCGTGAGCCTTGACAGCTCCCCCCTCGACCCCACAGAAGCCGCGCGGCTCATCGTGCAAGGCCCCTCCGTCGCGGACACGGACCTTCAAAGCGACGAAGAGATAGACGAGGAAGCCCCCGCTGGTGATCCCGGCCACCGCCGCGTGACGGCCGCCGGGGCTCCCCTGCTCTCCAGGCGCTTGGAGTGCAACCCCGGCCCCCCGCAGGCAGAGGCGATTGACGGCGCTGCCAGGCCGCGCCAGACCCGCTCATCTGACCGTGCCGGGGGAGAAGCTTGGCGACTGCCTGTCGCCACCAGGCCACTTTATGGGCACTCGTCTGAGCGCCCTGCAGGCCGATGACCCCAGGACAAGGACTCGTTCTCTACATGTTTGGCTGCTGGAAGTTTTCAGCCTTATGGCTATACAAGCTGAGAAATTCTCAAGCGAGAGGTACACGTTGGAAAGGTATGCCCTCCATCCGAGTTGCAGTTGGACAGTTTCAACTGCACGAAGACTGAATTCAGGAAGTCTCAGGCGACAGCCGCATTTCAAGAAGGTCTCACCCGCCCTCTATGCAACTGTTGGGTACTAAGACGACATTGCGTGGCGCTGAAGTGATATCAGCAGTTGGGAAACGAACCACTATCCATGAAGGTGGAACCTAACGCCATTTTTTTGACAGACCGCCATCCATAAGTTTCTCCGAATGGCATAGCAATCACCCCCCACTGGGTCGGGGGAGGGGATCGGCGCGTGCCGTTGGGAGTTTTTTTTTTTTGTGGGCGGCGATGACAGTTTTGAAGCTCAAGTTTCTGGGCCAGGGTGGTATTGGCTGAATGGCGTGGGGGCTAGTGGGGGGAATGGGGGTGGGGCTCGTGGGGGCGTGGGGGGGAGACACCATGTCAGGAGGGTGCGGGGAGTGGAGGGGGGGGATTATTTGGGCGCGCGTTGAAGAGCGGTGCAGAGGGGGGGGAGGGGGACGCTCCGTCGGAAGATTAGTCGCCCCCCGATTGTTATGCCATCCAGAGTTGGGTACATGTTGTAAGCTTCTAAGACGAACATGGGCTGCGCTAGTGCGAGACCAGAAATAAGGAAACGGACCCCTCTCCATCAGCGCAGCTGTCAGTTTCAAGGTAGATCCAGAGGCTGGCCTTGGCCCATTTTCCCTTTTCGCGATCTTTCGCTCGTTGGCCAACCACCGTGGCCCTTCGCCCGGATGGACATGGTTGCGCAAGGATCGACAGCATCGACAGGACGATGACGACGGGTTGAGCTCCCCAGGCATCCCCGCCGAGCTCCTCCGCCGAGTCCCGGGCTCGCGGCTATCGCCCCTGGTGCCAGAGTTCCTGGAGCACGGCGCCGGGCGCCTGCGGGTGCGCGAGCTCTTCAACCACCTCTCCCAGGATTTGTTTGTTTTGGTGTTTTTCCTTCACCATCCTGTGGTGTCGTGTCCTCGTGAATCAGCAGCGCCCCGCGTCCTCTTTTCTCCTCCCCCTCCTCCCTCCTCCCATTCTTTCTTGCCTCTGCCCTCCGCATGTTTCATCATCATGCGATTCTTGCACACCCCTCTGCCTCACTGTCCCGAGATTGTCCTGTGTGCGTCCCGCAACGGACATGCTCATAAGAGGAGTCAAACACTGCTTAGATCCTCCTTTCTGGTATTTTGGGTGGACGGGAGGAAAGGGGGCGACGACCGATAGAAGGTCCTGCCCATCTTGAACAGGACTTTCGGTCGGGGTCGCCGAGGACGTTGTCCACTCGGGACAGACGCCGCCTGCCTGCCAGCGGCCGCCCTCGGTTTTGGACCACACTCGCTGTCGGACATCTTCCCCATCTGTTCCGTCCCCAACTTTGGGCGCACTTGTCCACATCCCGCGTTGGGTCGAGCCTTCTCTCCGGCAGTCTTGGCACCGCCCTCCTTGCAGCCCCGCCCGCCGCCACCAGCGACCATGAGCCCTCTGTCCGAGAGCGCCTGCTCCGAGATCCTGGCGGCCGCGATTGCGAAGGCCGCCTTGCCTCAGTGCGCCGCAGACGCCGCCATGCCCCGGATGGGGCCGCCGCCCGAGGCCCCTTGGGAGGCGGGCCCTTGGGGAGAAGAATCGAAGAAGCGAAAACGGCATAAACATGAACTTTTGGAGGTCTGCACGGATTTCTTGGATCGGCGCTGCAGCCCCCTGGCGCGCCCAGCGCCGATCCGAAACCCAATGAATCCAGTAGCAGTGCGGGGAAGGCTTTGGGTTGCGCGCTGACAGCCCCCCCCCCCAGGTAGTCCTGGTTGGCTTCAACAGGCCTCCCGAGTAGACTGGGGCGGTCTCAACACCCTGGCGCCGCCTCCGGCGGCGCCCGTACGGCGCTCCGCGCCCCAGGGTTGGGACCTGTTGAGGCCAGCAGGGACTAAATGGGGGGACCGTCCGTGCGCGGCCCGAGGCCTCACCAACCGGTGCAGATTCTCTTCCCTCGTTCTTTTATTTTGCCTGGTGGTCGGTGGGGCAGAGGCCCATACCCCAAACCAACGTCGTGCTTCTCTCAGGCCGTGGGCCCTCAGAGGTCTCCGCTGGGTGCTCCACGCTGGTGTTGTGTGTATTGCTCGTCCGGTCCTGGGGGCCGGGCGGGCGGCCTCCGGGGGCCGACAGCGTGCACCCGAGCAGCCATCATTTTTTTTGACCGCGCCCGTAATGTTCTACACGTCCTCAGCGGCTCTCTTCGGACGGGGCTAGGACAAGGCTAAATCCGTTCCAGAGCGTTCCGGAACGCTCTCAGAGCGTTCTGGAACGCTCTGAGAAGGCCGCGGCGCCCGATACATCCCCCAGATCCGCCGGATCTCAGAGATTCTCGATTTATCCGTACCCGATTTTATCTTCGTCCTGGCTTCGTCTTACCTTTCTTCTCCGCCCCTCCTGTCCTCCCGCGTCCCGCCGTGCCCCAACACTATCTTCCGGCGCGCCCCGCCCGCTGCGTTGACAGGCACCTGCACTGGCTTCGTACCCGCTTGTGCCCTCTGACTGAAAAGACGTCTCTTGGCAAGCGCTTGGAAGTCGCCGCCCGCGCCGACAAGCTTATGAGCCGACCCCCGTCGCGGGTGGCCGCTGCGTGCCGAAGTCGCAGCGCCTCCGAGCGCTGCGCGCCGACGAGGCGAGGCTCACCCCGCGTCTGGACCGTCTGGCCCCTTCCCCGCGCTGAGAAAAGAACAAATGCAGAGTACCCCCGAGGGCCTGACGGCTCTTTTCCAACCGATCTGCCAGTGTCGAGCTGGATCGCTCGAGAAGTCTGTCTGTGCCGATGGGCATCTGCAGATGCATCGATGCAAGACCAAAGATACCCAGACACATCCGGAGCAGCTCCTGGAAGCGCCATCTCGAGTGAAGGGACAACAGAAGTTGTGAAAAGGCTCGCTCGGACGAGGGCAACTGTACCGACCGACCTCATTCTTCATCTCCCCAGGACGGAGGAAAACATCGCCGATGCATCGCCGATGCATCGGCGATGCGGCGCGATCCTCCGACCCCACCTGCTCAGAGCCCCCTTGGGAGGCCTTTCGTTTGTGTGCTCCCCGAGGTGGGCCCCAGCGCGGCGGACGCCGGTGCTCCCCAGATGGGCCCGCAGCCGCCCGCGCGCGGGCCGGGAGACCAGCCTCCGATGCCGCCCGGCGACAGCTGCACCTCGCCAGTCGCCCCAGCGGACGACGAGGAGGAGCCGGAGAGCAAGGCTCAGGGGGGGGTCCGAGGATGCCGAGCAGAGGAGGGCGAGTCGAGGCAACGGTCGTTGGCTTTCGGGGAGCCACGGCTGGACGCAGCTCAGGAAACTGGTGCGTTTGGACCAGGGGGGGTCTGGTTCTCGGCGTTTGAATACCGTTCTCGGGCCTGGGCGCACTCGGCAATCTATGATCGACCAGGACGGACCCCAGGAGGTGTCTGAGAATTGATTATGATTAGGTTTCGGGGTCCCTCTGGGAAGGAGAAGAGCATATCCGTACCAATATCGTTCACCGTTTTCGCTTTGGGGAGCCTAATGTGGGACTCGCGTCGCCACGGCTGGATTTGCTTGGAATCCTGGTCACGGCGCGCGCGCCCTGTGAGAGATCCGCGGACGAGCGGCGGAGTAGCGGTGCTGCTATTTTTCCATTCTTCCCAGAAGTCGAAACAACACCAACGACATGAATTTTCGGAGGTCTGCGCGGATCTCCGAAAGTCTATGCGCGTGCCGTTTTTGTTCCTCCGGAGGTCCGCGGTGTAGCGTGCCGGTATATTTTTGGGTGCCCCCCAAGCGGTTTGGTGACCGCACCGTGTTGAGTCAGTGGGGATTCGGGGTCACCCCACAATTGTGGCATTCGGATCGTTCATCGAGGACGTCTCGGGCGACCAGGACCTCCAGGGTCCTGAGACCGTGCGGTGACGGATCGTGCGGTGAGGTCTCATGGAATTCCGAGGTCACCGCGCGCTCTGCAACCACACGGGTTTTGGACACCCGATGGTCTTTCCAAAGGCGGGGAAGGCGGAGCACCAGGCGGAGCCTTTCTCGGAGGAGGACACGGTCTTCATTTTCGACTGGGACGACACTGTGCTGCCGTCCACGTGGGTGCAGAGCCAGGGGCTGCGCCTCGACGACAGCTGCCAGGTCACGCCCGAGCAGTGGGAGCAGCTTCAGGAGGTCGCGGACAACGCTAGGGAGACGATCATGGCTGCCAAGCGGCACTCGAAAATACAAAAATGCATAAGCACAATTCTCTCGGAGGTCCGCGCAGATTTCTTGGATCGGCGCGGGGTCTCTCGGCGCGCTCCGCACGGGAGCCCAGCGCCGATCCAAGGAGTCCGTGCGGACCTCAGAAATTATGTTAGTGCAGTTGTTTTCCCTCTAGGCACGGCCACGTGGTGCTGGTCACCAACGCAGAGCGCGGCTGGATCGAGCTCAGCTGTGCGAAGTTCATGCCCACGCTGGCGTGCGCCCTCGACGGCGTGAGGCTGATCTCGGCGAGGACCACATACGAGTCCGAGGACGTCGCGAATCCCCTGGACTGGAAGGTGCTCGCCTTCGAAAACGAGATCCGGCGCATCTATGCCGACAGGGCCGTGGAGCCGAAGCGGAGGAAAAACGTCCTGTCCCTGGGCGACAGCCTCCACGAGCGGGAGGCTCTGATGAGAGTGACCTCTCAGCTGCCCAACTGTAGGTCGAAGTCCTTGAAGTTCGTAGAGCGGCCCGACATCTCGCAGATCGTCAAGCAGCACGCGCTCGTGACGAGCTGCTTCGAGCGCATCGTCCACCACGACGGCAACCTGGACCTGTGCATAAAGTGCGGTGGTGCCTGAGCGGGTGGCGAGGTCCGCTGCTTCGACTGCTGGCCCAAACGGATCTTCCGAATCGCCCCGTGCCTCGGCGAAATTGCTGACCCTCCTCGGTCGCCGTCCAGTCCCCTCTCCCAGCCGCAGCCCACGTCCACGCCCTCGCCCTCCTCCGCCTCCTCCTTCTCCTCATCCTCCGCCTCCTCCTTCGCCTCCTCCGCCTTCTCCTCCTACTCCCCCTCCTCCCGTTCCTCGCCCTCGGGCAGCGTAGCAGCGCTCCTGGCACGACTGGCCAGCATGGCATGTTTTTTGGACGGAGGTGCCGCTCACTCGGGGGGGGGGGAGACGCTGGGCAGCAGCTGATCGGAGCAGAGCAGCGGCGGTCGACTGCGCGGGCACTGGCGCGCAAGCTGCCCCCCGCGCAGGTTCACGCTTCCTCGCCCTCTCCGTCCGCGTGCTGTGCCGCGAGGGTGGCTCGCGCAAGCCACCGCGTGAAGTCGCCGTGCCCCCTCGCGCAAGGCTACACTCTCTTCTCGCCGCTCAGCTGAGCGAGAACAGCGGGGAGGTCGGTGGCAACTCATGGGAGCCTTGCACGTCCTCGGGATCCCGTCTTTAGAGAGTGTATTGGCCTGTGCTGGCGTCGGGTAATCGATGAGAGCGCGCCGATTTGGCATAGCGTAGCGTCGATCAAGCGCCGATAAGCGTCGATTCGCGTCGGTCAGCGCCGATTCGCAAGAGCCAGCGAGATGACATGGGAGGCTCCCATGCGTTGCCACAGAAGTGGAGGGGCGGCGGGGACTGAGAGGTGTGCGCCTCCGTTTTCTCGGCAACCTGCGCGAGTCTCGTGCGGCCGAGCACACGATCTGTGCGGCCGTGTGCGCGGGACCCGTGCCGCCGAGTGCACGCAGCCGAATGCTTGTGTTTCCTGGGCGGCTGCGCAGCACCTGTGCAGCCCAATGTTGGCAAATGATCCTAATGCACGCCGTTGTTGTCGCCGCAGCGGGCGACCCGATACGTGATCTTCGAGGAGGCTTCTGGGAGGCAGTGGAGGGCGACCGAGAACCTCCTTGTGCCCTAGCCCATCTGCCCACCTCCCCTCCTTTAAGCCTTTCCCCCCTCTCGTACGGATCCTGGGTGCCTTCAGTTCAGCATCTTGGCTCGTGAGTATCACCATCGACACCGAAATGGCCAGCATTATTGGACTGAGTGATCCTGGCAAGCTGACGCAGCGAAGTCCTTCAAGTCACCTAGCCCTGGCTTCACAGCTTGCCACTGTGACGCTCAGTGGCCACGTCGCTGAACTGGAGGAACTCAGGGCCCGTATCGCCCCCCACGGTCCCTCCTCCAGAGTTCACCTCTCTGAGACGCGGAGCTTCTTCTCGGGCCGATCTTGATCTTTTCCCGTGCGGTAGCCCTGGCCGCGTCTCCAGGCGCCACGCCGGCAGTATAAGACGCTGGCACAGCCCTACCAGAGGAGCCAATGCACGGGTGTTCAGGGCATCGTCTTTCGGCCAGAGAGAGAATTCCCAGAGCCGCGACATTGCTCGAGGTGCAGCGCATGCAGTGAGAAGACGACAGGCTCCATGGGCGTGCGCGTGCGCTGGGCGCTTAATTCGATGTCTGTCGGGCCTTTCCCCGGCGAGGACCCACGACAGTTGGAAAACAAAACATGTCGCCATGAGCTCGAGGGGCCTCCGGGGAAGCGGGCCCCATAGACCCTGGGGCGTTCCCCTGGACCACTTCTCTTCATCTTGTGCAGCTCTTGGACGGTCCTGGGGCCCGTGGATCGCTGGTTCAAAAGTGGGGTCCTGAGGGATGGGGTCCTGAGGATGGGAAGGGATCCAATGGTGGATCTACACTGTTTGAGGCACCTCTTCCTTGGGACTCCGTCCCTCAGCACCCCATCTTTGAACCACCGAGTGGAGGGCCCACGGAGGGCCCAGGGAAGCAGAAAACGGAGACAAACACAAACTGGAACACCTTGCCTCCAGGCTGTTTTCAATGGTGTGCACATCAGTGGCGCTGTGAAGGTGACGGCGACGGCGGCGTCGGCGGCGTCGGCCGTGGCTCGCGGCGATCCTGGTGGCGCCGATTTCGATTCTCTGCGCCGGACGGCCCCCTCCCCTCCTCAGTCGCGGGGTTTCATGACTGGGTGCCAGAGGGGCGGGGCCCCGGAGGCAGGAAGTCGGGGGACCGACACTGATCCAGAAGCAACGGATACGAAGGCCTACAGAATTTCTTGCCCATTTTGAACAGGATTCCGGCGTCCATGAAGTCGCCTGCCCAACAGCGGCCGTTGTTCGGGGGCGGAAAAGAGGGGGGTGATGACTAGGGGGGGGATATGATGGCGGGGGCCATGATATTTCCCCAGATTTCATGGCGCCTCTTCTTATTTCATTACGTCCCTGGCCTCTCCGCTGGGCCGCGCACATGCCGCCGGTCATGATTTGCACCCCCCCTCTTGGACACCCCCCTCTTGGCCGCTCCCGAGTTGTCGGTTTTGGACAACACTTGTGGTTCGGCATCGTACCCATGTCTTCCTGACCGACCCTGGGCGTGCCAAAGAAAGGCCTTCCAGGTTGAACTTGTCTATCGGCGGGGTGCCTCCACCGAGGGAAGATGTTCCCGACCTCGGTGACAGTGAAATTCTTCGGGCTTCCCAGGTGGCCGAAGGATTGATTTTGGACGCTTCGCGTATCCCCACCAGTTACGACGCCTTCCGCTCCCTGACCGGTGCCTCGGAGCCGCCGACCAAAAAAGTATCCCCACCAGTTTCAGCCTTCCGTCTCACGCAGAGTTCCATCCTGACTCCGTCCCAGCCGGTCAGGCAGGTCTACGCCGTCGTCACGGTTCTTGCTCAGCTGACCTGGCTGGTATACGCCGTCGGCACGGTCTTGGCCCTTGGCGCCCCGCAGGCGACTCGACCATCGTTTACCTCGCCTTCAAGGCCACCGTGTGTGAGAGGGGTGCAGTGCAGGACGCTCACCTGCGTCCGCGCCTCCAACCGGGTGGTCTAACGCCGCAGGGCGTAACACCGAATTCCCTGGCATTTTGCTCTGGGCTGCACGATGCTCGAGCTTCCCTGGGTGCCCATCAGCCAGCCAACCCTCGCCTCGCTGCCCCAGCGGCCGCCTTGTGAGCTGGCCCGGCCGGCCTGAGTTGCGCCCTGTATCTAATTAGGTTTGTTCGTAGGCCCGGGACTTCTCTCGCCGCGTGCGCTCTTCGCTCGCGGCCGCGACCAAAACAAAAAGTATCCCCACCAGCCGCCGCAAGCGGTTACTTGTCGCTGGGCCCGTATTTCGTGGACGGCGGGTATTTGGTGCACCTGGGCTTGGTCGTTCGCTTCTGAGCTGCGCTGCATTCGTCGCCCGTCCTTTTCTCGCCCGGTCGTCGCTCGCGCTGTTTTCTTCTGCTCTTTCTTCTCCCTCGCTTGCCACCTGTTGTTTAGGCTCTCGCTCTGCACGTCGGCCTGGCTGCATTTGACTGATGACGCCGCGCGGCTGTCCGCTAGCGGTCGGTAAACAGAAATATCCCCACCAGGCTTAGGGAATCGCCGGCCCGTTTCCCTGGAGAATCGTCGGCTTGTTTCGCCCTTTTCCTTTTTGGTCACCGCCGTCTTGGGTAAGTGTGGCGTTCTCTCACCCATTCTTCACCAGCGTCACCATCGGCATCCTCGTGAGCGTGCTTCCGGTACCCGTGTGACGCCTCCCGCGCCATTTTGGTTGCGTTTCGCTTTGCTCCGCTTTGTGGCGGCGCAGTTATCCGCTGTTTTTTCCGTCGCTACGGCGCGGCCCGCCCTTGCGTGCTCGGCGTTCGACTTGCTCCGCGCGCCCGCGTACCGAATAAATATCCCGACTAGCCCATCCAGAAACGATGCCCATGAGAGCTGACGGGGGGAGAAAGAGAGAGAGAGAGAGAGAGAGAGAGAGAGAAAAGAGAGAGAGAGAGAGAGATAGTCAAACAGCGAGGGAGGCTTGGGAGGTTCCGTGGCCATTTCGAGCCGTTTTGGAATGGTCTTCGGGCCGTTTGGAGCATTTGTTGGGAGTCATCTTGAGCCAGCTTGGGCTACCTGAGCCATCCTGGAAGTCATCCTGGGCTCGCTGAGGCCGCTCTGGGGCCTCTTCGGGGCCTTTCGGGTGCATCTTGGAAACCTATTGGGGTTTTTTGGGGCGCTCTCTGGGCCCTCTTGGGGGCCTCTTGGGAGTTTTTTGGGGGGCCCTGGAGGGCCTGTTGGGACCATCTTGGGGGCGGTCGATCAAAGAGGGAGTTCCCGTATCTCCGTCCCCCCTTGTGGGCCACGATCCTCGTGAGTGGTGCCAAAAATTGGCGGTGCCAGGGGCCGGACAAGGATGCTTTAACTCGTCGCGACCCCCGCCCATAAAACCTCTAGGAGGGGAGGGGGAGGGTTCCCCTCCCCGAAGGGAAGAGGGGTTGGGGAAGAGGAAAGAGACCCTCCTTTGACCACCTGTCGCCCAAAGGGTTGGTGGGATTGCAGCGAACACCGAAACCTAGGATCTTCTGGTGGAGGCCCCCCCCCTGTCAAGCCCCACTGCCTCATGTTTCAGGGCTCCATCCTCGAAGCCGGTCCTCCCCTTCGATCGCGTGGGCCCGCCCGAGAGGATTTCGGGAGCTGCAGTGTGCGCCGACTGCCCGCTCGTGCTTTGTCCAGGCACCCAGCTGCTAGAGCCAACCGGACAGCCGGCTTCGTTCTCCAAACGCTTCGTACCCCAGAGGGCAATTTCGGACCCCAGGACCGTCAGACGACGGCTCGGGATGAACAACCGAGCGACGGAAGAAAACGGAGTCGATTGCACGGAAATTCGCACGTAAGCTGCCCGCGTGAGGTCGCGCGTGGGCGCCTTCGTTTCCAATGCAGCGCGCGGCGCTGGCAGCCCGCGTAAACCACCGCGTGAGGTCGCCATGCCATCGTGCGCGAGGCGAGTGTATATCTGTCGCTCAAATGATTCGTCCCTGGGGCGATGTAGGACCCCAGGACCCCAGCCGACGGCATTGGATGAGTAGCTGGC